TGAGTGGTACTCTGGGGAGCTTGACTGAGCAAGTTTGCTCTCAGCTGCACAGCTTCGAAGATGTTAACAGGTGTTAATCTGACCCTAATAATATATCCTTTTCTTTTGGGAAGTAGCCAAATTGTACACGATGAACCCTTCTAACATATTCAGAGGCGTATCTGCTAGTGTGTGAAAAGGCAAGATATTGAGAAGTAGGATAAGGAAGCTCAATTTTTTGAAAGACATGATATGGTGTACGGAACTGCTGGATAGCTCAGTGATTTTGTTATCTGGCTGCAGAGCCAGAGTTTGGGTGTTTGATTCCCTACTGTGCCTCCTTGGCAGGGACTCAGTGATCTGTAGGGTCCCTTCCAGCCCTGCAGTCCTAAAATTATTATATTAATAACTATATCATACATAGACAATGTGGAAAACCTGGCCTACCTGCCCCTTGTCAAATATAGTACCCATACAATAGGACAGGACCAACATAAAAATTACTCTACTGTTCTATCTGACCCATCTCAGTTATTGTTCAGTTGTGCCTCAGACCCACACTCGATGCAGACAGATGAGTATCCATCCTCAGATGCTTTTCCTCAACTACTCTGAAGGTAACTTCACAGTCAGAGGCAGATCCTACTAGTTGAGATGCAGAAACAAAGTCACTGGGGAGCAATTGTTGATTTGGAATGATTTCACTTCAGGTAATCTAACTGGTCTGGCTGGTTGACTGTTCCCAGCAAAGGTAGAACAGGGGTCAGGGTGTGTGAGAACCAGTTGCAATTTTACTTCATAAGAGTGCTGATTTTGCTCTTAAAACATTAGCTAAAATATGGTTGGGATTTTGTGCCAGCTTAATGCAAACAGTGTGCTCAAGTTAAGAAATCTCTGTAGGCACTATCTATGCCACATTTAGCAACTCATTATATCTATAGTGATATTTTTACTTAAGGAAATTCACCTCCAAAAGTTATGCCATTGTTGCTACACTTGGAAGTTATACTTGCAGGTATAACAAGCAAGATTTTGACCATCAAATCTAATATTTCATGCTTTAACCACCAATTAAAATTTCTCTTTCCAAGTTCAACTAACTCACAGTGAAAGAAACATTGCCACCTTATAAAGGAATCTGTTTTGTACTTTCGCCCATTAAAATTACACAACTCAACATAGTAAGGTTTTGTGATATGAAGCAAGATTCTTAGGTTAAGAAGAGCTTAACTTTTGTCCTCCCATCAGTCTTTCAATTTTGCCTAGAGATAGGTTAGCTAGTTACCTAAAGGCGCCTTATCTGGTCTACCTTCATCCTGCTGAAATAAAATTGAACAGCCTTACACACATTGCATTCTATAGAGGAAGAGTGGAATAAAATATTAGGGATGATAAAATATCCGTAAAATGATTTGAGCATATGGAGAGATATTAGTGGCAAATAATAAATTGGATAGCAGCATCACAGTGAACACTTGTCTAATGGGATTCAAAAGATTTGAGGGTTTAAAAAAACATCCTGCATTAAATTTTATCATGGCAAGGTAGCTGAAACAACTAAAATGAAGAGGGGGTTCTATATATTTTAAAACAGAAGAGACAAAATTATTTATTTCTGTATTAAAGTAGTGGATAATATTCAATTATTACATGTGTTTTATGTGGAGTTATGAGCATATCTAGGAACCTTACTTTAAAAAAAAGTTAAATACAAATCTAAAGTCCAAAAATGTTGCTAGTTGCCTTTTAGTAACTTAAAAAACACATCTGAATATGAACAGTTCTTGGTGCAAAAGACTGTACTCTCCTATAAAAGCAAAAATCAGCAACACAAGATACATACAGTACAAGCAACTACTTAAATTATATAATATTCCCGTTCTATATTTTAGTGAGGTCACACCACATAACCTAATAAAAGCAATTGAACAGTTATGGTTATACCGGAGAAGGAGTTGGAATTATGCTTAATTAAATTTCAGTCGATAGTAGTAGTACAAGTAGTTACGGAGGAAAGGAACTAATTATAAGTAATTTTATTTGTACATAAAAAATTTCAGGTTCTGTTGTCAGCTGCATATGTTTCAAGGCAACTCAAGGATAACATGTTTGGATAGGTGGAACAGAATACTTTAGGAAAAATATGAAAGGTATAATGAAATAAGCTGTGTTTCGCAGCAATGTGAAAACAGAAGCAACCCTCAAGATACTGAAATAAAAAACAATTTTCTCTGTGAGCCCAATTTTTTCTTAGTTTCAGCATGTACACTGCATGTCCAGACATACAGTAGATACAGAGAATTCATATCATGCCATAAACTCATTTTGCTTACAGGTAACATGTGGATTCAAATGGACTATTAAAGTTGTCTATTAGCTTCCACATTAATTATGTGTTAGCTTCTTGCTCGTTAGTAGATAATTCATTGAGGCAGAGAGAAGGATCTGACCAGTTTGTGAAATAGTTCAAACAGACTGTTCTGCAATAGGTTTGTGGTGGTCAAAAAATCTCTGTTCTTGATTCATGTCATTCAGTGGGCAACTTGCACTTTAACTGTCTGTAGTCTGAAAAGCTAAAACTTCTAAATTAAAACTACCAGAAGCTCCATTCTGAGCCTGGATCTATCATCTGTATGTAAGTTTAGGTTTGCTAAGCTCTAAGTTAAAGCACAATCATTCGTATGTTCTGAAGCCATTTGTTAAAAATCAGCACTCGTCCCATCTATCAGCATATTTCAGGTGCCTACATCAAGACCAAGAAAACAATACTTCAGGGCAGAGACTGCAGCATCAAACCTTTTCACACAGCCACAGTTGAGGATGGTTGTGTGAGCATTCTACCATCCAGTAGACATGGTTTTTGTGGTACTTTGAAGATTACAAGATTTTACCTGGTGTAATCCTTGATAAACTAGAGTCTTCAGTCTTCTTAGTTGTTTGTTATTGCTTTACTTTTTTATCTCACAATCCAAAATTGGATTTGAAGATTACAAGATTTTACCTGGTGTAAACCTTGATAAACTAGAGTCTTCAATCTTCTTAGTTTTTTGTTGTTGCTTTACTTTTTTATCTTGAAGGCAGCAAGTCAATGCAGAAAAGCTCAACATTATTTCTGAATAAAAATACTTTAAATAAATGAAACTTTTTAAGAAGAAAAGCGGGATAAAAATACTTTAAATAAATGAATCATCTCATTATCTTCCCCCAGTGCTGATGACCCTTGTTTTTACCACCAATATTCCAAATGTTTCAGATCCACACTCAACTGAGACAGCTCCATTTTTATGGTCATGGGCTTAATTCATGGTGCAGTAATTCAATCTACCTACAGCAGTTTCCAAGTCATACATAGAGAAAAGCATGTTAAAGTACTTAATGGGTATAAGTGGTATGGAAGTGAAAATCCCTTCCCCTTCCCAGTGCCAGTTGTCTCACACCACAGTGTGGAAGAGGACAAAATATTTTCTGTAGGTTTCAACTAGAGTTTTGTTTTGCAAGAATGTTTTTTTGTACAAATTGCACAACCTATGCAAAATGCAGAAATTGTGTAGCTAAATTATGATGTGATTTGTGCTGCCTTGTTGCATAGTCTGTCAAAAATCAGAAGCATAAGATAGTTTCTATGCATCTATTTCATCAGTCAGAGTTCTGGACTTGCAGTGTGTATGTCTGCTTTGTTAATACAGAATACCTATGTGCCATCAAATTGATTCTGACTTATGGCAACCCTTTCCAGGGTTTTCTATGTATAGAGTACATCATGATGCACTGTCTCCTTCTTCTGGGTTACTCTGGGACAGTATAGTTTGCCCAAGGCTACACAGCCTGGCTGTACTCGTAGAATGTAGTGGAGAATCTAATTCCCAACTTCTGATTCTGCAACCAGATAGCTAACTCACTGAGCTTACCAGCCAGCCATCACTTTAAAAAACACATAAAACTGTCCCTTCAGAACTTCAGGATAGACAATGAACTGTTTAACTCAAAAACCCATCTCATCACATCAACTTCAGGATAGACAATGAACTGTCATTTCTGGCCTTTCCATTTCCCTAATGATATTAGTTTAAGGGATCTTAATTAGAGTGTTGAAATTGACTCTTCTCCTAGGAGGTACAGTGGGGAATCAAACTCTCAGTCTCTGTCTCTGCAGCCATATACCCAGCTATTGAACTACCATATGTTACGTAATGAGAAAAGATAACAGTTTATACAGAGACATTTTGCACATATTGCAGACACTGATACCTAAGGTGAAGGAGGGGAGCTGTCATCTTTGTTCTTGAAGCAAGAAAGCATGTAAACACTGGACAGGTTGCCTCAAGGAGAAAGAGTTATTTAGTGGGATACCTTTGGATCAGTAGGGGGAAGTACCAAATTCTGTTCATTTGTGGTGAGAGTTAGAAGGCTTAGCAGTGAAGATAACACTTCTTTTATGATGTACTTGCTTTTCCTTTTTGAGGACGTATGGATGGAAGAATGGAACAAGTTGCTTGAGTTGGTGACAAAAATGTTGCATTGAAGTATGAGGTGTATCTTCTGATGCTTTTTTTAATGATGAACATCCACCAAAATGATGAGAAATTGGCCCTTTTCCTGAAGGTTAGGCAGACTTTTGCTCCTGAACCTTTTTGTTCCTTCCTAATCTCTCTGAAAGCACCCTTCCAAAAGAAATTCATTTTGTTAACTGCCCAGGTGTCACGAAGTAGGATGGTATACAAGTTAAATAAAATAAAGAAGAGCAAAGTGTGTAGTGCAAGCGAGCTCTAGCTGTAGTTCTTTATTGTCAGTGAATATAAAGCATGAGAATAAGAGCTTTATTTTATAAACTAATCTGTGCAGACCCATTTTCTCTCTTTTTTCTCTTTCCTGTTTTCAGTGTAAACAGCTAAAATCCTAACTTGAGGAATTTAAACAAATACCTCCCTTGGTGATTGGCAAAGAGTTCCTGCAAGTGTAACCTTGAATATTCTTATTCTTGAATATTCCTCTTTTGCTGATCAGCCTTTTCTCTTTTTCAGTGTGTCGTTTTTGCCATGACTTCAGGCCAAATGTGGAATCACATTCGTGGGCCCCCATATGCTCATAAAAATCCTCAGAACGGGCAAGTGGTAAGTGCTCTTCTTGTACCACTGCATAAAACCAGCGATATCACCATAGAGGCCTATAAATTTGCATTGCACAGGAATAGAGTATGAAAATATGTGAAGATTATTTACCTTAAGGGACAGTTTTTCAAAACTCTTTTGTGTAGCATGTGAATTTGATAGCACATAAACGGAACTCCTTTGTAGGAATGTGCAGTGAACTTAAGCAAACTTTTAGTGAATTACTGGGGTTTAACTCATAAAATTGCTTCAGTTAAATGCCTACTACATGTCTTCAAACTTATTAGCAGATCAACAAATTGCATATTCATGATTTCCTGCTTTTTCCTAGGATTCTTTGGCTACTCAATGACTGTACAGTGGTGCCTCGCATAACGATGTTAATTGGTTCCGAAAAAAACCCGTTATGTGAAAACATCGTTATGTGAAGCACCATTTCCCATAGGAATGCATTGAAAACTGGTTAATCCGTTCCAATTGGAACGGATTATCCGGTTTTTTCCCTCCCCCCTGCGGCTTGGATCTGACCCACGGCGGCTACTTCAGCCATGGCTGGACTCCCTAGAGTCCGGCCATGGCTGGGGTAGCCGCTGCGGATCCTGTCACTGCCTCCATACCATCCCCTTCTATTTGCCAGGAGGTGATGGGACCAGTGGCCATGATCTTCGTGTTTTTTTTTTTAGCTTCAGACCATTTTGCACTCTTTTTCTTCACCCTCATTAAGAAGTTCTTTAATTCCTCCTCACTTTCTGCCAAAGTGATATCATCGCCTATTTGAGGTTATTGATATTTCTTCCGGCAATCTTAATCTTAATTCCGTTTTGACCCACTTTACCCAAAGGTCTCTGGGCGGCTTACAACAATTAAAATGCAATTAAAATGCAATTAAAATACAATAAAAGATAAACGATTAAAATAGAATTAAAATAGATACTCTAAAAAATTCCCATCAGGACCCACAGTTATTTCAATTAAAAGCCTTCTGGAACAGGAAGGTTTTGACCTATATATATAACTTATATAACAGGTACAGGTTTTAACCAAAAACCTACCGTAAATATCTGTTAAATATCGACACAGTATGTATGCTATTCCTAATAGTGCCAGTTTTTGTAGCTCTTATGGTGTGATTTCTGAGATCTGCAACTGCTTATAATACTGTGTGAAATTTCTTGATATTGTTCCCAATGCCCCAATGACTACAGGGACCACTGAAGTGTTTTTTTTCCAAAGATGAGATGTTTCGATTGTCAGGTCTCTGTACTTCGTTAGTTTTTCCAAGTCTTTATTATCAGCTCTGGCATCATCATCATCATCATTTCATAAGCCCTATTCAGGCATTTAGCCTGAAAGCTGAAATGAATGCTGAAAGGGTGGTGATGACATGAAGATTCAAGGAAGCCCAGCCCCTATGTCTCTACCATTCCTGGAAATCATGCTATCTTTTGCATGTATAGTGTGAAGAGACTGCATAGATGCCATAAATGCATTCAGTTTAATCTGCTTGCTCTGTGTCCATGATTGGTAGCCCAGTCATAAGTAAACCACAGGTAGAAATATGTCTTGCATTGAATATGCAAAGGTCTACAAGACTTCCAAGTGGAGTAGGAACTTAAGCACTTTGTGCTTTCAGGCTGAATGGTATTGTTCCCGCCCCCCACCCATGTATATGAGAGAAAGATTTTAAGTACCTCCTGGAATGCCCAGTTTTTGCACAGAGGTTACAACTATGGGCTCCATTCTAATCAACTCATGAATCTGTTTTTCTATCTGTATAATACATACATGTTCACTATGTGCAAGTGTCCACTGTGGCTTGTTCTTGATTGAGCTTCATGGGGATTGCAAACGATGAGTTGGAGACAATGCCAAATCCTAGTTGATTATTTATTCTTTATGAAGGTTGCAATATAGTTTCTCTAATATTATTTTTAAAATATATCTTTAACAGTATGTTCAAGCTTGTTTGAGAATACTGAGTTATTTCATCTACTGTGACATTTTATCATATTTGGACAAAGTTGGCAAAACTGAAATGAACTGAAGTCCAAAGCGAGTGGTTCTTTGCAAGTGTGCAGAAGAACAGACAACTTCAAAGCTATGTCAGTGCACTCCATGTTCCTCAACCTATACTATGGAAGATTTAGTGTTAGCTATCCTGTGGATGATCATGGAACAAAGGAAAACAATTAGCCTTAGAGAAAGTACCGAGTCAACAAGCAGATGTCTGAGCCAGCGGAGCCTCAAGGCAACGCCCTGAGAACTATTTTTATTAACTTAGCATGATTACATAGTATGTTGTGAGAATTCAGATAGGATACTAGTTACCTAAGCGTAACCAGGATTGGCTGAGGAAACTCTTTGATTTAATGCTCTACCTCTAAGCGAAAGGTCAGAATGAGGAGTTACCCTGCCTGCTGGCAGCTGCTGCTCCTGCCAGGAGTGTGGGCATGTCACTGGAACAGAATGCAGCTAGAAACTTTAGGGAGAAGTTTCCCATGCTGTCCCAAATGCTCTTGATGTTGCCTATTTTATTGGGTGAAAATTATCTGCTATATTAATTAACTGTACTGTGGTGTTTCTGACATGAACAAAGATTATTATCTTTTGAATCAGACCCTTGAGATGTGCTGCTGTTCCATAATTATATTTGTGTTTCTGAAGGACAATTTGGATCTCAAGGGGTTATTGGGGATTTCATTGTGATTTTATTTTTTCCTTTACGAAGTAAACAGGTTTCCAAGTGTAATGCTCCTTGAGCTTCCTGCTTGGATGGGAAAGCAAAAGGATAAAAATAAAAAAATGATAAGATAAACTGTCAGAAGAAAACTAAATGTCAAGGCTTTCACTTAAAGGCTTTGCTTTACCTGGATTTCTTCCAAAGGTAGAGTGTGGTGGACCACATTCTTGCATGGTAGAAAAATATACTGCTTCTATGAGATACACTTTTTTAACAAGAGGAGCTGAATTAGGAGCCTTCATAAAATGTAATTTGTCTTTGCCTTCCCTCTCCCACCCTCCTCCGCTTCAAACTCAGCTGAACTTCCCACTATTTTCAAGCTTTCTCATTACTAGTTAATAGAGAATAATTTGCTTAGCCTTGCAAAAGGAAATCCATTCTTAGTTTGCTTTGATGCCTCATATCTTAATTGGAGAAAGAAAAAAGTGGGGGATGAATTTGATGACTGAGTGACTTGGTGACAGGAGGATAGGAGTTGATGGATGACATAAAATGACACATTTGGTCTGCCAAGCTTTGTTATGCAGAACTTTGACAAAAGAGGTAATAAATAAGTGTGTCACTAAAACACTATTTAGAAGAGTTCAGAATGTTTTCATTATTCCATCTCAGTATTTAATTTATGATGCATTTTATACAGAGTGATGGAAAGGTGAAAGATGGCAGGGAACAGACAGTGGAATTAACAATTAAATTAGAAAGACAGTGGGTGGGTGTTTAATAAATTGTCAGTTTTTGTAGATTAACTTTGGTTTTCTCTGTAGAGAAGGAATGTAAAGATACAGCTCTTTTTACCTTTTGCCTTTTTCTTGACAACTTCTTGTGATGCTTTACCACCCACATATGGTGACTTGTTTGGTGTGGAGCTTGTTGTTGTTGTTGTTGTTGTTGTTGTTTGTTTGTTTTGTTTTGTCTTCCCTGAAGACAGAGAGAAGGGCTACAAGCACTCAGCATGCATGTGTAATTGTTCGCCAGGTAGTGTGGACATGCAGGCAGACCAATGGAATTAAAAGTCTCAGTGTTTTCCTCAGGAGCATTCTGATCTCATATTCAGAGTGTATGGTAGCTGCTGGCTTGGCAGACAAAACTTCCTTCAGCTTTACAGGATTTTTTTTTAAATTTTGAACTCAGAGGGCTAGGCTGCTTTTCTGGTGGTAAATGTAATGTGTAGTCTGGCTTTACATGAGTCAGGTTCTAGACATTGTTCTAAAAGGTATTCCATAATATGGTTGTGGTCACATTTCATCTGCATTTTTGTCTCTACAAAACAATTGTTAAAGACTAGCCAGTGCTAGAAAAACTTCATTGTTCCTCAGTCATCAAAACATAATGGGAGCAGAAGTACATTAATAGATTTGTGACATATTGAAAGCAAGCAGATTTATTATGACATAATATTTGGTAGGGTAGAATCCAGATGCATGAGATGTTTTCCTAATTTGGCAGGTAGGTATACATGTGCTTATAGAGGGAAGACAATTAAGCAGAGAGAAATATAATGCAAAAAGATTGGTGACAATTACATTAAAGACAAAATGAATGTAAAATAGCCCATTCGTGAAGCAGTCTGGATAATAACACAAACATCCTGTCATTTGTAAGCTAATTAATATCTAGAGTATGATTTTTTAAAGTGTCTTACCAGATTAGTTTGTTATATGCTGTCAAGTTGGAACCAACATATAGAGAACCTAATAGGGCTTTCAAAGTAAGTGAGATACTTAAGGAATAGTTTTACTAGTTCCACTCTCTTGAGTGAGTTTCCATGGAACGGCGGGGATTGAAATCGGTCTCCAGAGCCCTAGTCTGTCACTCTATCCGCTATACTTTTGTTGTTGTTTAGTTGTTAAGTCGTGTCCAACTCTTTGTGACCTCATGGACCAGAGCACGCCAGGCCCTCCTGTCTTCCACTGCCTCTTGGAGTTTGGTCAGATTCATGTTGGTAGCTTCGATGACACGGTCCAACCATTTCGTCCTCTGTTGTCCCCTTCTCCCTCTTGCCTTCACACTTTGTGAAGTTGACTTCTTCTAATTTATTTTTGAGGTATAAGCAGAAACTCAAGAATTTTCTAATGAATGTTTGTGAAGTATCTTGAGTTGGAGTTACCCGGCTTCTCAGACTGATTCTATACATGTTCTATATGGCCAGTACATAGTATTTGGAAACTGCTTGAATGTTGCTGTAGGAAAAGATGTGTAGAAATTATTTCTTTGTAAATCCTTGTATCAAAAGAAGAAGAAGAAGAAATGTGACTTCTTATCT